CCACGTCTCTACCCATGTTTCTACAATCATTTAACAGACATTCTCTGACTCAAAATTTCTTCTAAATGTCTCTACAATCATTGTTAGAGACATTTTCAAGCACTGTCTGTCTATGTCTTTACGACCATAATAACAAACATTACCAGACTCACATTGGTCTAACTATGTCTCTACAATCATTTCTGTCTCATGACTCAATGTAACAGAAATTACCAGAACAGTTGTCTAACCATGTCTCTACAATCATTTAATAGATATTTTCAGATTCAGCATTTGTCTAAAATGTCTCTACACTTATTGTAACAGACATTACTACACAATGGTGTAACTATATCTCTATAATCACTGTTACAGATAATTTCCCGCTTTAGTTGGTTTAACTATATCTCTGTAATCACTATAATTTTGATATATATATATATATATATATATATATATATATATATATATGCAGTTAAAAATTTCTCTTTGAGAGAAAAAAAAAAGAAACTTCTTCTCCTGGTTTTCTGACAATGGTACAAGACTGACCCCATGGAAGAGACTGCAAAATCACAATGTAATATTCCCACAGACAACAGTGGTACAATGCAGCCAACCATCATTGTGAAGACAACATAAACTACTATACAATCACTATAACAGACAAGAAGGACCTAATTGGTCTAACCAAGGTGCTTCCCAAACTTTTCTTAGTCGCAGTGCCTTTTTTCAATTAAAATTTTTCCATGGCACCCTAACCTAAGTAAAAGTATGACTATTTATATGTAAGAGATTTTAAAAAAAAAAACTTGTGTATCTTTGAATATTTCGCAGCACCCCTATGAAGAGGTCGCGGCTCTCCGGGGCGCCACGACGTACAGTTTGGGAATCAATGGTCTAACCAGTCACCACCAACTCCACTCAAGACTTACAGATGACAACATGCTTGTCTTCAACAACAGCAAACAACATGTTATCAGTGAGGGAAAAAATCTTTCCTCACCTGGGGACTGAGCCTGAACAGATGGGCTGGTCAGCCGGTATACCATCCACTGGGGCACCACAGCTATATGAATTAAATAAGGAATGGGGGGGGGGGGGGGGGGAGGAGAGAACTACTTTCTGTCAATGGACATGCTGTTTACTTTTCTAAATAATTACCAAATATACATCACACCTACAGTAAAGCAATGAATACATAGCCGAAGACAAAATATGCCCAGATTATCATAAAAAGGCTTATAAAGAGGTATAAAAAAAAGCCAGACACATGAATCTTTCAGCACTTTTAGTGAACATATATTCAATTTATATTTTTTTAAATAAATTGTTACATGTATTTTGCCTAAAAAACAATTTACTATCGGTAGAGCTACTGAACGTAAAACTGCCTTAGTAAAAACCACAACCAACAAAACAAACAAAAAATGCTGAAGCTTTGTACTGTCCAGCACATTTGCATGTCTCTGCATTTTGTGTGCCACCCCCCCCCCCCTTTTTTTCCCAAGAAATGGTCTGTTAATTTAGTGTTGAATAATCCAGTTTAACTTGGAGCACAATCATACTTGAACTGGATACATAACTATTCTTGAACCTGGCACATAACCATGCATGAATTCGACACATAACTATTCTTGAACATAACACATAACAATACATGAACTAGACACATAACTATTTATAAACCTAACACATATCCATATTTAACACACAACTATTCTTAAACCTGACACATAACTACACATGAACTAGACATATAACCATTCTTGAACCTAACATATATCCCTAACTGACCCATTTAACCATACATGAACTACACACACAACCATTCTTGAACCTGAAACATAACCATACTTAACACACAACCATCCTTAATTCTGACACACAACCATAATTGACCCATTTAGCCATACATGAACTAGACACACAACAATTCTTGAACCTGAAACATAAACATACATGATCTAGACACATAACCATTCTTGACACACAACCCTTCTTCAACCATACATGAACTAAACACAACCATTCTTGACACACAACCCTTCTTCAACCATACATAAGCTAGAAACATAAGTATTCTTAAACCCGACACATAACCATACTTGAACTAGACACACAACTATTTTTAAACCTGATACTTAACCATACATGAACTAGATACACAACCATTTCTGAACAAGACACATAATCATGCATCAACTTGACACATAACCAGATGTGAACAGGCACATATATCCTTGCATTGCAGTAAAATACTACATAATGTGCCAACCATCATCAAAAGAATAGATACAAAAGAAGAAGAATAAGAAAAAGAAGAAGAAGAAGAAGAAGAAGAAGAAGAAGAAGAAGAAGAAGAAGAAGAAGAAGAAGAAGAAGAAGAAGAAAAAAAAAAAAGAAGAAGACCCTTGCAATTCCCGACAGCTCACAACATATTGGTTAATTTTAGGGTTTTCTCCTAGTAGCAGTAATATTAAAACAGTATCCTGTTTAACCATGTGGATTATAACTGAGAAATTAAAAGGTTTTGTGTGTGTTTAATTTTCATTTTGATATTGGATTTTTATGCTAGTCAATTACTTTTGGTTATTTAATTCTGCAAAGTTTATATATTAACTGTAATAGATTGTAGGAACATAGATTGTGAAGTTTGGTATCTTTTAAGTATATATGTTTTAAATAATTGTAACAATTATATTGTGTAAATAATCTTTTGGGAATAGTTAGTGATATGGCATAATATAATTATGTCATATGATACACTGACAACTCATATGCCTTCATTCTTGTGATATATTATTGAATCTGTCCTAGTAGTTCTCTAAAGCTACCCATCCTCAGTCTGTTCTATACCATCACCAGCTTACGGCAAAATTTATGTCTGTCCATTAAGGCTGGAAGAACAATATATGCTTGTACCCAGTCATATTATTCTATGCCATGTGCTGCTGCGTCAGTTTCTGTTATATCTCCTACTTTAGTGTAGACCACTTCCTCCCCCCCCCCCCCCCCCACTTTTTTTTCTCAAACAGCACAGATTAAAGAAAGATTTTTCATATTATGATGAGTCGATATTTATATGATAATAACACCAATATTTAGTTTCAAAGGCTGGCATATGGCTTATACCTCGGTATACACATAAAAAACTGTGGTTATTCTACATGCTGGAAAAAAGGGGGGGGGGGGAAACATGACAGCATATAACTAGAATACTTTTGCAGTGGAAGCCACAAGGCCAAGGAATAAAAGTATACCGGAAAAAAATCACACGAGAAAAGAATTTGAAAAGAAGTGGAAAGATAGGCAAAACACAGAGGAAAGGGAGAATATGAAGGAAGAAGAAGAAGACGAAGAAGAGCAATAACAATGAGATTCTATAGAAGATTTACATATCTAACCACCTGCTTCCCATGTTTCTTTCACAGTAACATAGAAAGTCCCAGTTTTTGCTCTGACTCTTTCAATACATTTTTCACAACAGTCCCCTAACAAAGGAAATATCCCCTCTGAAAAAATAACCATGAATTCATTGTATTAAAAAGAAACTAAATGCACACAGTACAAGTAACCAGTGAAGCTGCCAGACTTGTATGATACCAGGACCAAATGTAACAAATTCAGGAATCACACAATGGCTGGGATTGGGGTGCAAGAAACAATTACATATGACACCTTTCTTGGCACTGCATAGTTAAAACCTTCTATTTTACAACTGTACTATTTTAGCTCTTAAAGAAATATAAAGACTAGGATCCCAAATAAAATACACTTTCTTAAAGTAAACATTACATGGAAGAGTTAACACTGTCAATATTGTGTATATATTACTTTACCTCATTTTATTCCAAATAAATTGTTACTTCATGTTAGGATCGAGAGGATAAAATAATACTATTTCACAGGAGTTCGGTATTATATATAATTGTTAATTTTAATCATGCACAACTGTCCTAACCAATGCACAAACAGCAGCAAATTCAATACTCACCACGACTTATAAAGTTCAACAATAAATATAAAAATTTAACATATATAAAATGATAATAATAAAAATAATTCCAAAGTAAAACCCTAGACTAAGAAATAAGACATCATAAAATAAACAAACTTTAACTAAATAACCTCAAAGTCAAATTCCAGACAAAGAATAGGGAATAACCAGCAAAAATGAAGCAATTTATGTCAAAGTACAATTCCAGACAATGGACAATAAAAGCAATAGGTAAAAATGAAAAATGAAATAGCCTTAATGTGAAACTAGACAATTAAAGCAAGTAGGCATTAAAGAAAAACATTTTACAGAAGTAAAAATAACTTTATTAATATACTAAAGATATATTAAAATATAATCACAATTTATCATATTTATTTTCAAGTTTGGTACAAACTCTTTTCAAGAATAACAGAGTAGCTGAGAACTTTAGGCAGAAAGCAAAGCTAAATTGTACATATACATATATAATTAAATATAATAAAACATGGAATATGTGCAGCATTGTAAGATTTAAACGATGAATAATGGGTTGAACTGCGTTTGAAATTAATTAAACGACATCGAGTGCCTCTCTGAATCTATTTGACGTTATTATTTGGCGAATCGACGAATCGTAAACTGAGACTTCATTAATTTTAGTCAAAACGTCTATTTTTCTAAATGTAATAATGAGACGCTGTCGAGTGTTATTATTACTTTTGTTGAGTTACTTTATTTTAATTATTAGCATCATATTTTTTAGTACATTTTATTTTATATCTGGAATGCTATATTTAAAGTTAGTTCTTAAAATTGAAGTCAGTTAAAATAATTTTTTTCTTTAGTTTTTGTTTAAATTTAATTCTTTATTTAAATCAAATAACAAACTGATTAATTAAGTTATTACGCTATAGCAAAATAATTAATTCATTTTTATTTCTGATAAAACTGGTTACTACTGCTGTCAAACTGACATTGACAGTCAGTGACTGAGTGACTGACAGTTGAGGACGATGACAGAAAAATACAAACTTACCGTTACCGCCATCTGTGTCATATTCAATACTATCCTCATCTAAATGATCTCCCGGCGTTTCAGGTATAGGAGTCAGCTCATCGTAATCCGACTCGTCAGACTCCACATCTATCACAGAAAAAGACCTCAGAAAATCCTGTGTCGTGTCCGTGGTTGCAGCACTTACCCCCGACGCCATGCCTCGACTAGTCCCTGCCACTACCGAGTCATGATCGCATCACAAGAGTTCAGCGACACGGCGCTGGCTGGGGGAACTTGGACAAAAACTTCGGCCAACTTTGTCGTCGCCATGTTTGCAAACAAAGTCACGTGGCTGTAAGGTTGCCGTCGCATCGCCTGTTGACTATCAATTTTGTTTTTGCTGGCTTGTCGTCTGTGCGGGGTCATTCTTCTTGCACATCTGTATTCCTTAACACGTTGTGTAGTGGTTTACAGATTGGCTGCGATATCTGCGCCTTCTGTCCGATACGTCTGATTTCACCAGTTGGTTGAGTAGACAGCTTTTGATATTGATGTTGTCTTTTAAGTCTGAGAAGTACGTGTTATGGCAACAGTGATACTGAAATCCTGTGCTCTAACCGTGGGAGAGAACACTCGCCATCGCCACGGGCTGTGATTACTGTTTCTCTCTTATCGTTATGTAGCAGGCACAACGTTGCTCTCATCACGGTTTGCCTAAAAGAAACTGGGTCTTTCGCCAGCTTCCCGGACTCGTACACTTTGCTACCCAATGTGTCACATATCCTGTGCCTATCTTCGTATTGGTCGGCCCCTACTCCTCTTTACGTTTGCCATGTCCATTGCAATTTTTTTTTCAATCCACTGTGTCGTTTTGATACGGCGCAAATATTTACGTTTCCATAACAAGATACTGTTTACTAGTCAATCTTCTATCCTGGTTCTTTAATAATTTTAGAATTTTTAGCCGACTTTTCTTGATTATTGCCGCGGCACCCCTGGCATACGATCATGGCACCCTAGGTTGCTTCGGCACCCAGTTTGATAACCGCTGCATTACCGCCTCGTTGGCCCGACCTGGTGACGTCAGCCGCACGATCCATCGGCTATAGCCGGTCGTGCTATAGCACAGTACAGTGGAACCTCACTTAACGAGCATAATTCGTTCCAGAGTCATGCTCGTTAAGCGAAACACTCGTTATGCGAAAAAAAAATTCTCATATAAATTAATGTAAAATACGATAATGCGTTCCATGTCGAAAAAGATGCTCACAAAATGCTATGTATAACGTTTATTAAAAGACAATTATATACATATTGTTAAGGAGAGTGGGCCATCTTCATCTTTTCTTCAAACGAACCCACCTGGAATGCGAATTCCATTTGCAGAAAAAAAAAGTCGAAATAATTATGATACATAGCTAATTACTATTTTTTTAAACTAGAAAGATGTCCAGAGATTTGTTTTTGCCGACGCTTCAAAATTTGGCGAAAATGCGACACAGCATTATCATTAAATAAATTTGCAACCCGGATAGCCACTTCCTTATTAGGACGATGCTTCTCAATGTAAGATGCAACAGTTGGCCATGCTTTCAGCATTTCTCTTATTTCGCCAGAAAATTGTTGCTTTTGTGTTACCTCCTCCTCCTCTGACAAACTTTCCTCAAAAACGCAGCTCTTGGTTGTGCTCTTCCACAATCTCTTTGATATCACTGTTATCCACCTGCAACCCCGTGATAGTGGCCAAAGACACAATCTCGTTGACTACAGGTTTCACTGTCTCGAACCCCTCAAAGTCACAAATAGACAACACTCTCCGACCAAAGCTTCTTCCAAGCAAAAGTTTGAATTCTCTTGGTAACCCCTTCTTCCGCCTTGTCGATCATCTTGAGGCAGGCAACCATGTGAAAGTGATTTTTCTCCAAAACTCTTTGAGGGTGAGGCTGGTCCCTTCAGTCACCTGAAAACAATGCTCGAAGAGTGCGTTAGTGCAGAGTTTCTTAAAGTTAGAAATAACTTGTTTGTCCATGGGCTGGAGTAACAGAGTGGTGTTGGGAGGCAGAAATTGGATCTTGATGAACTTAAATACTTCAGAGACTTCATCTTGTAGGCCTGGAAGATTCATGTACATATATAACAATATAACACAAGTTTAAGAAAATGTGTGACCACAAGTGACACTACGATGCCACTGGAACGAGTGCTAAACGCAGAATGATGTAACAGGCGCACAATCCTGGACTCCTCCTCTCCTCGCCACTCGTTATGCGAAACGTCGCTCGCTAAGCAAGTCATTTTTTTTTTACAAATTGTTTTGCTCGTTATGCGATTTACTCGTTATGCGAGGTGCTCGTTAAGCGAGGTTCTACTGTATAACATTTTCCTGGATAAACGAAACGGTGATATCTTGTTTCGACTCCAGCCAATATTATGCAGTTTGTGTATAGGATTCTCTTCGTGCGCTTTTTCAAAGAAAAAATGGAACACTTGTGTGTAACGAATGAAGGCGACAATTAAAAAAGAAACAGATGCAAAATGCATACATAGTGGTGCCTCGGAATTCGAACATAATCCATTCCCAGACGGCAATTTCATTCTTCAGCAGCTGGTGAAGGCGATGAAGCTTTTGCGTTGTCAGCTCAGTCGCGTGATCAGCACGTGCCCGGCGTTCATTTTCCAAGGCTTCGTTCAAGTTCCCGGGTACAATTTACTTGAAAATGGCATTCGTATTCTTCAAGTTTGGAGGTGTTCGAATTCCAAGTTAACTTAACTAAGCAACTGCTTATACACGGGACTCCCTGTAAGGGTTCCTGGACCCACTATGGAGAAAAAGAACAGACCCACTGCTTCCAAAGAAGCATGTTGTAAAAGTCGACTATTTAGCGGTGTTTCCTTCCAAGTAGGAGTGTCTCTGCCCAAGAGGAGCGAGGAACCAACAGTCTGCAAAGTAGTTAACAAAATGTGTAAAACTGGAGTGCACGCGCAAAAGTCGAGTTCTGGAACAAGATTAAAGTCCAGAAGTGGTCGAATAACCACGATTTTTCTAAGAAGTGTATAGCACACAAAGAAAAAGTCACGTTGCACAGTTACCACCGACATACGTGCTTGTTTAACAATTCTTTCTTCATCCACAAACTCATAATACCAAAAAGTTCAGCTTCAACGCGTAATTTCCATTCACAAAAAACAACGAAAACTATTACGCTTAAATTATGCTCTGCCTGTCAAAACGTGTGCATTACTTTTTCTTTGTGTGATCTCCTCTTAAACCCCTATCTTTCAATTTGTAGTTTCTGCCTGTGTGTCGCCCGTCTCCAAACCTGCCTACCTATGTATCTGTCTGTCAATCGCTCTCTCTCTCTCTCTCTCTCTCTCTCTCTCTCTCTCTCTCTCTCTGTCGCTCTGTCTGTCTGTTTGCCTGACTGTCTATGAATCCATCTGCCCATCCATTCGTCTTAAGTGTGTATATCTATCCACTCTTCGTCCGTCTGTCAGCCTGCCTGAACCTATCATGATTACTACTGCATTTCTACCCAAAAGACAGGTAATTGCCTAAACTAGATTGTACTTGAGATACAACTGACAATAGCACAGCGTTGAATGATCTTCAAACCAGAGTCGATGGGCTACATCCTGTTTACCGCAGGTGATATCCGGTGACCCGCAGCAAGTGCTAATTATGTCTGTGTCTTCTGTCTCTTGACCATCAGTATCTCCAAAACTAAAACCGTGGTGATCGCAGGAGAGAAGAAACACCAGCTCATGGTGAGACAGCATGCATTAGAGCAGGTTAACCAGTTCAAATACCTTGGAGTTGTAATAGACCAAAATGGAGGCATTAAGACAGAGCTGGCTACTCGAAAAGCAGCAGCTGGGAGACTGTTCTAATTTATAAACCGAGAATTTTATTTAGCAAAAGAGAAATCGGAAAGAGGACGAAAATGGCTGTTTATCGCTCTACCTATGTACCAGTCCTGACCTACCGGTGTGAATCATGGGCCACGACAACAGCCCGCATAAGCTAGCTTCAGACCTCAGAAATAAGAAATCTGAGAAAGGTGGTCCAAGTGACAAGAGGGGACAAAGTTCGCAGCCAGACAATACGTCAAGATCTTGAAACTCAGGCCTTACAAACTAGAGTGGATTTATCACAGTTACGATGGTTTGGACATGTATGCAGAATGGGAGAAAATGGACCACAATGGAATGCTAAGAACCAAGGAACCAACCCACCATGGCGACCTAGGGTCCGGTGAGAAGATAACATCTGACAGTCCCTGATGGACAGGGGACTGGAATGGAACAAAGCCAGAAAGAAAACTGCTGACAGAGAAGTCTGGCGATCTCTCTGGTCAACTTCTACACCCCGACGTAGAAGAGGAGCTACTAAGTAATTAAGTAAGTCTTCTGTCTCCTCCTGTCTCGAGACATTATCAGGTTTATTGCTGCAAGCAAAGTCTGTTTCTATTTCTGTCAAACTATGAAGGTGTCTCACCTACCCACGACATGTAGTGTACATCTTTGCTCGGATACCCATGCTAGTGCTATAGAAGCAGCGCTTATCTCTATGGTTATGCTTAGCGTGGCTGCCTGGTAAGCGCCACTGTCCTCTTGTATTGTTTTCCCCCTTTCTGCGCTGTGTATGCCCATGCTGACCTTAATCCGCGCTTCATGGATCCATCTGTGTAGATAATGATATCCTCTGGTTGTAAATGCTGATCTATCAGTGCCCTTACCGCTGTTTCTACGACCGCAGGAATCTGATCAATGTAGTACCTTTTACCAGGTGCGCTGACAACCTTAGATGTACCGCACAATTCAACTGGTGTATTTGTCGATTCTTTTCCGTGACTGATCTCGTCGAGGTCACATACCTGCTGGCCATCCAGGAGCGGTCTCTTTTAAGACGCATTCCTTTTGTGTCGTGTGTAGCTTCGTGCAGTGGGCGGTTAACGTCTGCCGCTGCCCTCATATACGCCTTGACCTGTGCGACTTGGTGTCTGTTAGCCATCGTCGGCAAACCAAGGACATATCCCATGGCAACCCCATGGCTGCAGGAGGTGTCTTTTGTGCAGCCGAGTATGAATCTCATGGCCTCATTTTGTACTCGATCTTGTCTTTCTAGCTGGGTTTTGCTGACAGGGAGAAGGCCCGGCCCATAGTCAACGACGCTTAATGCAAGCCCTTGATAGAGAAGGAAAGGTAGGCGTTGTTCAA